CCTAACCCCCCCCCCCCACCCCCCACCACACACACACACACACACATTGAGCTCTTACCATTAGACCAAAGCCGTGGGGACAACAATTTCAGCTTTCTAATATGGGAATACAACTAGTATACAGTTTACCTGAGTAAGCACATATCATGACCAAGAGAACATTAATGCAACTTCCTTGATATTAACTAGAGGAAGAAATTTTACCTTAATGGCATAATGTTTTCCATCATTACAACTTCTATAAAGTACCTGTGTCATCAAAAGTTGATCAGATGTCAGCCTCGACTCCTTCAAATGATAAAAAGAAAGAGCTAACATCAATATATTTCTGCTCACCACTTTCCCATAGCTACCAGAACCAATTTTGTGTTCACGGACATATTCATTAATCATCTTGTTCCCATCTTCATCCTGAATCAAAAAAGACAATGGTGGCAAAAGGCAGTCAAGCTACCCTCCTTTTTGTTTTTGATAAATCCAACAAGTTACACCAAAAATTTCATATCCACAACGATTACACTGCAAGTAAAACAGGTAATGTGCCAAAAAAGCAGCATAGAAGGCACCATGTGAAGGCAATTGAACTTGAGTTGGCTTATTGTATATTTTTTTTTTTTTGATTTGCACCGGGTGTCCGAGTCTCTAAGAGCCCCGACTAATCCCGGGGGTGCACAGGCCCTCGGCAAGGAGTTTCCCGCAAGTGCACCACGGTTAATTCAGGTTTTACCCAGTCCGATGGCCCTCAGAAATTGTTTGCACCCAGTGGGTTTCGAACTTGAGACCTTGAAAGGGAGCAAACCCCAAGGCTCAAGTCCGTTGCCACCAGGCCAACCCCTGAGGGTTGAGTTGGCTTATTGTATATACAAACCTGGAAGTAGGAGCTCGGGATCTAGCTGTAGCTATTGATTACCTTTTCTCCCCTATTTTTTACAGATTAAATTTGTTCTAAGGTTTGAGTTGGCTTAGAACAAATTTAATCTGTAAAAAATAGGGGAGAAAAGGTAATCAATAGCTACAGCTAGATCCCGAGCTCCTACTTCCAGGCGGAAACACAAAAGGTAACCCTCTGCCCAACTTCTTTGCTTTTCTTTTTTTGATAAAGAACGACAGGGTAACCTAGCACAACAGGGACGAGGAGGAGAGGGCAAGGGAAAGACAGCCAAACAATCTGAAGGTGAAGTATCACGTGGACATATACTGACATAAGTAGTGAACATTAATTAAAACAAATATGTCTAAGAGCCATCAGCATTCGAGTATACTTTCTTTGCACTAAATAACATTACTGCTATTACCTCTGTGCGAACAAGTTTGTCGGTTTCCTTAACAGGGACCTCCCTGCAAATTAACCCATTTTGAGCTCTGTCCATGAGAATCTCTTCAGAACGTTTAACCGGGCTATGACACACTTCATCATCCTCAGTGCCAGTATCAGTTACATTTCCCCTGTCAAAGCCATCATCTTCCTCTTCAACCTCTTCTTCTAACAATGGCGCGCGTGACCATCCGTTTCCATATCCCCTATTAGACCTACCTATTTTTTCCGGTTTTCTTGCAAAAGAGAATCCAAAACACCCACAGCATCCCATTTCCGCCACATCATCAACGGAACGCATCATCACAAACGTGCAAAACAACAGAATGTGTCCCAATGGAGTACACTATTCACACAGCAAAATCAACAATTTGATTCAAGAACCTGAAAATTTAGCATACACCTCTTATTACCATCAATCAACTAAACAACAAATGAAACAATAAACCCAACATCCCCATATTCATTAGTTCAACAAAGCCAATAATGGGATATATGCACATATATTTTGATAACAGTGGTGTCAAGTCAGCTTGTTTGCACCTCTACCATTCCACCAGCCACCACCGGCAGGTACCAGGTAACTGCCCACCAAAGCTTAAGCGCATATATATTTCAATAACATATTTCAACTGAAAAGGAAAGTAGTTGATAACCTTAAAAAGGAGGAAAATGCTATTCGGGCATCCGGCCCGAATCAACTTTGTTATTCAATGGGATGCCACTCAGAAAAATGATAGAAGCAGTTGGTCAAATTGATTCCTAAGCGATTGAACCAGCACATTATGAGACCTCCAATTAAAATTATAAGAAACAGACAAAGAGAATCAATGCAGGCTAGAATCTTCCATTTGTCACCAATGAAGAAGCCTCATCACAAGATACCTTTCTGCCACAATTGAAAGAATCAAAAAAGAAAAACCAAATATGAGTATTAACCACATAGAAGAATAACAAATTGAGCAAACTTAACTCGAAATATCATAAAACCTAGAAGAAAATTTTGATTTTTGGATAGAAAAACTTAGCAAACCCATTAAAAGTTTAATCTTTTTCCTAACATTTCCTTCAAAATTAAAGAAAACGATTCAAAACCAATAAAAATACAGTCTTTTCTCCAGAATCCTCCTTGAAATTGAAAATTTAAAAAGAAAACCGCTACCTAAAATCTGGAAAAGATCTATTCTTGCACAAATTTTGGGGGTTCAAATTTCTATAAGGATTGAGATTCAAATTAGGGAGTGAAATTTGAGAAATACTGAGGAATTGGGTTTGTTGTTGAATTTGTTTGCGTTGAAAATAGGAACGAAGAGCAAAAGGACCAAATTTGGGAATTGGTGAGACGTGGGGTAGAAAAGTGGAAGAAAGAGGGGGGGTGGGGTGGGGGCGGTGGCAGGGGTCCGTACAGGCTGTTGATGTGGTCAGGGTTGACTGTACAGATGTACTTTGTGCCTCCTCCCTAGTACATTAGTGACTGTTTGGGTATTCACTTAGATTGGAGAATGAAAAAATATAGTACTGAAATTTGTTTAAATAATATATATAAACTAGGTTGATGAATTAAACATTAAATCAATAGGTATGAGTCGTATGGACAATTAATATTTACACTTGTTGAATTTTGTGAAGCTATACAAAAATGATACTTAAAAAATGTAGTTGAAATTTGAAATTGTGCTTGGTGTTTATGCACTTAAAAAAGTATTGCACTTTTATGAGGACAATTTTTTTATATGAAAAAAGGTAGATTGAAAACTCATATTAAAAAAATAATTCAAATTCAAATGTATAATCAAACAAGTTTTGATAAAAAAAAAAAATCTGTATGAACAAATGGGTAAAGTATCTTATTTTATCTGATACTATTGCTAACCACAAATTTATATGATACAATACTTCTGGGACTGTATGTTATTTGGTTTGATTTGGTTTATTAAACAAACAAACTAAATGATAATTTATTAAATTCATAAACCAGATTAAATCAACATAAAATTAGCTTTTTTAGACTTTGTCCATCTTCATGGTATTTTCTCTTATAAACAGTAACTAGTCTTTAGGGTACGCGCTTTGCGCGTGTATTTTATATCAATAAATATAAAAACTTTGAAAAATTAATAAATATTATATTAAAATTTTTGTTTGAGTTTAAAATTAATGTTAACAAAAGTGTAAGTTTCTAAAAATGATTATTGTTGATTCTATTTAGCTAACTCAATAAAGTAAGAAACTCCACTTATAAGTCCTTAATCATCTCATTCAAAAAAATTGATAAAGTCTTTTTTTCTCACGACCAAAATGCAATTGTTTTATTTCATTAACCAATAAGAAATACAACAATAATTATTTTCAACAGATTAAAAAAATGCTATTGCAAATGTATTGGATTGAATTCTTATGTTTTGATTAATCTGCTCTTCCTTCGTTTTGTAATTGGCTTTCTTTCTCTGTCCTAGTACATAACTGTACATTTGAAAATTTCTTTCTATGGAAGTAAGGGGTCGTTTGATACATGGACTAAATTATCCTGGTATTATAGTCCTGGAATTATAATCCCTAGACTAATTTATCCCAGGTGAGAGGTGGGATAAAATAATACCAAGTTTGATGGAATAAGGTGGGATAAGATGGGATATCCAGGATTAAGTTTGGGACAAAGTTTATACCGTGTTTGGTTCTTGGTATAAATTTATCCCGAGATAAATTTATACCACCAACCAAACATAGTATAAATTTAGTACCACACTTTATCTCACCTTATCCCGTGTACGAAACGACTCCTAAGAGCCAAAGATTGTCATGGTATTTCTTAATGTTNTCAATTGTTGCTCCCTCTCTCGAGATTGCAATCCCTATCGAGTCGGGAAGGAATGAGTAATGGGTCGGGGAATCGGGCATCGGCCCTCTTGGATCAGGTAGGAGCAGGAGTAGGTAAGTTAGTATCGATCCATTGAAGAAAAGAGAATTTAGTTGATAGAGACGTTAGATCTGGAGGAAGCATCTGGTCACATATCCCAAAACCTTCACGGGAAAGGAACGGACTCACTCGCCCTACTTCTAAAGATAGATAGAAAAGGTTAGGGAGTCCCAGCTGCTGAGGTGGCGTAGTGACAGGTGAGAGCAATAACAACAAAAGCAGCGGAAGATCCTGCAATAGTATATTCGGTAGTTTGCGGTGGAATAGATTCAAGCGTCCGGGCCAGTAGATCCACAGCAAATAGGCGTTGACTTAGTTGCTTTTGCAGTTTATTTTAATCCCGATGTTGATTCGACGCAACTTACCGGTGATAGTCGCAGCACCAGGAGCTTTCAATGGAGGGGGCCAGGATCTCTAGTTCTGTTCTGGAATCAAAACAAAAAATGTAACCAAATAGGCAGCGAGCCGTTCAAATGAGACCCGAAGACCAGGAAGAATAAATAAGCAAAGGGAGGGGCTTCTTCCTTCAACAGAGGTAATGCTTATTCTTCTCCTTCCTGGTACTCTTGAATAAGGCAAGGCTTTTCCCTATTCCCTATCAAAAGCACTTTCAGTAGAAAAATGAATTCGTCTCAAATCAAAAGAACAAGACTCCGCACCTTCAACTAATTCAAGCAATTCAGTCAGTAGGAAAGTCATATCACTGAACATTAGATTGTATACAACCTCGTGAACATTACAACCAATCAATCGAGAGTCTTCTATACATTTAGAAACTTTCTATTTATTCCCGAACGCACAAGAAAAGGTAGAACCTTTGGGAGGTACTTTCGTTCTACTTTACTATAGCAATTTTAGATCTGCCGGTCGCTCTCTTGCAAGTGCTCGTCTAGCTCCCTCTCCTTGATCTCTTCTTTTTGTTTTTAGCCGGATTTGACCTTTTAGCCATCCCTTCGATCAAATAGAGCTTCCTATCCTACGTTTTTCTTTTTTTCCCACGATAGCGATATTCCTTTGCTACTTCTTTCCTCGGCTAATGGAAAAAAATCCTTCTTTTTACCCTGCCTGGCGCCATCCATCTCCAAATAGTAAATGCGCTGCTGAGCTCATATGTCCGCTCGTCTGGCAAGTTGGCAGCAAGCACTTCTTCCCCTCTTTGTGTGGAAAAGCTTCTGAAAGCCTATTAGTTAGTATTAGTAAAAAACCTAGTTAAGGGGTCCGTAGTTGTCGCAATCGCTCATTGGTCTTCACCTCAAGTGTTTTCTTCAATGAGTCCAAATCTGCCTTCGCGGATAAGAAATCAAGGACTTGTCGGTAGATCAGCTAGCTCGCGCTCTAGTCTTTCATTGATCTTTTCTACCCCTCGCTCTATGAGGATGCGCGCCTATCCAGAACGTGCAAAGTAAAATAGCTGTAGATCAACTGGGTAAACATATATATATATATATATATATATATATATAAGTATTAAATATTATTTATTTAAAACCTCTTCATATATACACATAAAAATATTATTAAATTTATATTTTAATTTTACAAAAGCATTTTTCAGACCGAATTCGGTTGGAAATATTGAATTATAATCATTTCGGTTGGTTAATTAAATATATATAATTTTTGTCTTGGGCGGTTCAAACTTTCCGAATTCTTTTCTTGGAAAAAATTTAATAAATAATTATTTTTGTACATTATATACAAGTATGACCAAATATTTGACCAATTTCCGACCGAATTCGGTCGAAAATTTGGTAAATTTTTAATAAATAACTATTTTTGTACATAAAAAAATTTGACCAATTTTCGACCAAAATCGGTCGAAAATTTTATTTTTTTGCTGATATAAGTATTAAATATTATTTATTTAAAACCTCTTTATTATTTACACTCATAAATATTATTAAATATTTATTTTAATTAGTATAAAAGCATTTTTCCGACCGAATTCGGTCGGAAATATTGAATTACAAATATTCCGGTTGGTTAATTAAATATATATATTTTTTGTCTTGGGTGGGAAACAAAAAATTCAAACTTTCCGACCGAAATCGGTCGGGAATTTGAAAATTTATTAGTAAATAATTATTTTTGTACATTATATACAATGTCTGACCAATTTCCGATCGAATTCGGTCGGAAATTTGGTAAATCTTTAATAAATGAATATTTTTGTACATAATATAGAAGTATGACCAAATATTTGACCAATTTTCGACCGAAATCGGTCGAAAAATTTATTTTTTTGCTGTCAGGCAATTTTTGTTGTTGACTTTTGCGACCAAATACTCTTATTTTCGATTGATTTTGATCGGAAAGCCTTGGACGGAAATCACTTGATTTCTAGTAGTGCTCGCACCTCATTCAATATATAGCCTGCTTCATTAAAGTACTTTGTGGCTTTTAAAATCTTCTCAACGATCCAAGATGCTTGCTTCGGGACATCTTCAAATATATTCATGTTCCTCCCATAGTAACAATGAATCCACGTCACCCAAAGATTATTTTTTTCTCCTACAAAAAAAAAATGAACCCGTTTTCTTTTTCCTTGTGTTACTTTTGACTATTTAACATTTGAATGATCTGTGCTTTTTAGCAGACATGGTTGAACAGTATTCTGTTGTCCTAGTTATGTGACATTTTCCGGTTCTCAAGATTTAATCTATGTGTATAGCTTTTGAATATCTAAATTTAATATTTAAAATATTAAGTGAATATAATCGAATTTAGTTTAAATAATTAGTCAAACTAACTCTTGAGAAGCAAAAAGTGCCACATAAATTGAAACTAAATATGTGTTTTAATAGTACATCTAACTTATGTAGTTGACTCTGGTGGTGGGATGAATGGTTGCTTTTGAAGAAGTAAGGGCATGTTGTTGCTACTGTGTTAAAACACAAAATTAGAAAACTGTTAGAAGAATAAAAGAAACTGGAGAAAAACAGTAAAGATTAAGAAATATTCCGAGTCCACAATTTGCTTGTGCGTCCTTAAGGAATTTTAACCCCCTCACACGTTGCCAAGGTAATGGATTAAATCCTTCCAGGATAAAACGGAATAAACCTTCCTGCAAAAGTGGCAATACAAACTGCAGGATACCAACGAACTTAAAGATCGGAGCAAAATCACACTTACGAATTTGAGAGAGAGAGACTGCGAATTAGAATGCAGTATATTCAGAAAGAAGGAAGTTCTGTAATGTTTTTTTTTTTGTGTGTTAAAAACGAAGCCATGCCTCAGAATTTATAGGCAATTATTTGAAGAGTTGTGATGTTTGTTCTGGAAAAGGTGCCTTTTCAGAAGTTTACGCGGCCTGCCGCGGTCCTACCGCGGTTACGCCAGGACTGCGGCCAGAGTGGCCCTCTGAATCTGCTGCAGGGTTCTGGCGCAGTCCTACCGCGGTTATGCCAGGACCGCGGCCAGACTATCCTT